GGGGGGGCGGGGGCTGAAGCCTATGGATTTGCAACCAAACGTAATATGCATACCTAGTCTGGATCCTGAGTTGAACAAACTGTACGGAATAGTTTCTTATAAAAACAATCAGGGCAGTTTAAACACTGGGTACCTGACCGGAAGAGAGAAGAATGTGCCCATGTTTATAGTGAAGACTCTGGAAATACATGACTTGCCACACACTACCCCATAACCCTATTTTCCAACTCAAACCCATTTGGCCCCAGGCCAACCAAACTGCTCAGGACCGCACCAGGGGCCACAACTGCTTCCCTGACGTCTAGACCAGCTCCTTTGGTCAGCACTGGAGACAGCGGGGACAAGTACTCAGACTGCGTGTCACTACCAGGTAGAGTGAGCACGGTGCGCTGAGGAAAAACATGGACTTTTACAACTGGAAGCCCAATGCCAGCCCACAGCAGAAATCAGGCAGAGCACTCTGCCCGTGCAGCAAGCATTCAGAAAGCACGTGTCCGATGGTGGAAAGCAAAGTGCCCGAGGCAACAAACCTACCAAGCCGGGCTGCAAAGAACACTTCCTTCCCCAGTGAAGGAAGCGCCTCAGGCTCGAGCTGCAGGAACTCTCAAATGTGACAGGGTCGAGCTTCCTAAGATGCAGCCTTGTGTGGCTTGTCAACTCAGACTGGGGGTGTGAACACGTCACTTACCCTCAAATTTGGAAACACAAGTGTCAGCCAGTTTTAACCACTTTGTTAACTATTATCAATTAAGCAGCTGATCAATAAGGGCACTGCTTCTCTTGAGGACGCGCATTTTAAAAGAACGTACTCCAGCGCAGTATAAAATGCTGAGTCCAAAATCATCTTTTGAGGTTTTCTCGTTTTTTATTCTTCAGGAAGATCCTGATATTTTGTCATTTTTCTTTCTGTGTGCAGTGCCCCCTAGGTTGAAATGCACTTAACCCAAATCCTCCTCCTCTCTGCCAAACGACGCTAACATTCGGACACCAAATATGTCAACCAAACCTGCTTCGACAGCTAAGAAATGTCCCACAATGTCAGATACGAAGAGGATTTGGCTTCAAATTCCATAACCGTGAGTGAAGAATGGAAGGACAACAGAGCTCAACTCCCGGATCTTCTCAACTATCTATCCGTGCCACCCCTCCACCCATGTTTGGGGAATTTCCAAACCTGGGTGGGAGGCAGGGCCCATCTTCTCCTTCATGGGAGTTTACCACGAAGGCCAGGGATTTGCTTTTCCACCCACCAGCATTCTGGGCACCCGACCTAGGCTCGACCGGTTGGATACTCATAATGAGGACTCTGCGTCTGGAAAAGTCATTCTCAAGAAGCATCTGGAGGAAGAACCGGTCTTGCCCGGAGCAGCAGCTCCACGGCACCGGACAGCCACAGGCCAGCAGCGGGCTGCGTGTTTCTGGATACCGGTCCCCAAGCTTCGCATGGTGACCACGTGTTTGCTGAGCCGGGTCCTCTTCAGCCTTCCTGTGGATGCGGTGAACTACCCAGTCTCTTCACCCGCCTGAGCTCAGCAGAGCCCCTTCCTGCCGCCTGCAAGCCTGCAAGCACTCCGACCTGGTGAGTGCAGGTGCGCTCGCACGCGTGCCCGGCAGAAGACCATCACCACTCGAGGTGCGACGGGGGAACGGGAAGGTAGTACGAGGCAGTCTCCTCCCCCGAAGAGGCTGCATTTCAATCCGGACTGAGGAGATACAACACAGACAGTAAGACAGCAGAGACCGCAACAGAGTGACGAGAGCCAAGGGCACAGCCCGAGGCCAACACAGGAATGGCACGACACCCAGGAAAGCAACTGGCCCTGCCGAGGGCTCCCCCTTCACCAGGGCCGCCTCCGTGCTCCCGCTGAGTCTACCTCCTCCCCAAAAGGCTCAAGGAGCACGGGGTGAGCCTTCCCTCAGGCAGCTCCCGAGGGGTGATGGCCACCTCTCTGCCCCCGCACCGCTTACCCTCATGAAACACTTGAGAACTCGGAGGGTCTGGAGCTATGGAATTCCATCTACCTCAACTTCCTCCTGCCGGCTTCGCAATCTGCTCTCAACATAACTTGGAAAGGGCCCTTTTGCTGTTAACACAAACTTGAGATGAACGTGCTCGCCTTTCCTTGGCCACTCGGCCACTGACCCAGCCCCACGCGGCCCCTGACCGGACAGCTCGGTGGGCATCTCAGTGTGGAAAGTGTCGCTGCCCCCTCTGTGCCCGCTTGGTGGGCAAAGCTTCAGGTTTGCTGAAACACACAACTAAGTGCAACGGAGTTGGAAACCGTCTCTTCAAAAATGGTGGCCTTTTCATTTCTGATGTTCTTCTTGGTTTCCAAATTACAGTTTGATGCCCCATTTACATCTGGACCTACTAGTGTGACGGAGTTGACGCACTTAAAAATTCTTTACATGCACCTTTGAGCCTGCTGACTATACAGCAAGATAAAAACCAAGAAGCCTGCCCCTCTCCGTAAGGAACACCTCTGCCCAAGGACACACCTGCGGTGACCTTTAAAGTGAGTAAAAGAAAATAAAGGCTGTAAAACACTCAAGTCCATTAGGATAGTTTAGAAAGGGTCTCTAGCGTCTCCGCTATCACGTGTGAGAGCTACCCGAACACGCCGATGGCAACCATCCCCTAACCCCAGCACCTGTCCCAGGTGGCGATGGCGAAAACGGACATGCGCACCACCACAAACGGGCCAGTGGCTGGCAGGAAGGGCCCCGCCAGACTCTGGGGCAGCTTCTCAGCCCCAGACGGTGACGGAGCTTCAACCTCAGCTCTCTGGCTCTCGGGCACCTTGCCCGGCAGGCAGGGGGTTCCCATACCAAGCTGGGTGACCAGAACAATCCTCTTGCCAACACGTGACAAACTCTACTACGAGCCACTGGGCACCAGCTGCAGCCACCTGCAGGCTGTCCTGCCTTGTCTCATTTTCTATACCGGACATGTGACAGAAAATTCTCCTGGGGCCCTGGGTGGCCCTGAATTTCTTCAGACTTTCCTCTGACCGACCACTACCCCGAAGAGCCGCAGGCAGGAGAGACCAGCGCCTGCTTTGTCTCCAGAAGCGCTGGCAGCTCTCTTACCTTCGCAAGCAGTCCGTGAGCGTAGTGGTTCCTGCTACATGGCTTTCCCCGTTCACCACGCTGCCCTCACTCCCGGGGCTCAGGGGCCAGAACGGGGTGGAGGAGCCAGGCAGATCTAAACTGATGTCCCAGAAGGGGTCTATGGTGGTAGAGACTCCGCTAGAAGCAAGAGGAGAGACACACACACGTGAGAACGAACGGCCACGCAGCCTCCGAGGCAGCAGCTGGCCGACGACACCCACATCATCTCACAGCTCTGCCCTTCCATGCAAATGACGTGGAAGGTCAGAAGACGCGGGACAGCTCCCACCCAGCTCGTCCTGGGCCCCCAAGGGAGCCCTGTGGAGGAACAGCAGGTAAACCACTTCCGGCAGAGGCTGCTCCGAAAGCTACGGTTTCAGAACCCAGAAGATCATTACGATCGTTTGGGGGTTTTTTGAAAATAGAGACAGACCCCTGGGCCCCACGTCCAGAAGTTCTGAATTGATGGATCTAGCTCAGCAGCATCTGAGGAACTGGAAACCGCGAGTCCAGGGAGCGATTTAGAGCTCCACGCACACCTCCCGTGGAGAGAACGCACCGAGCCAGCACCGCGCCACGGGACGCTCTACCTAATAACAGAGCCGGTTCCCTCCCAGACATGGCCTGTGAAGGACAGACTGGGAACTTCACTCCAGATACAAACAGGACATAAACCCGAGACAACCTCCTGCTGCTGGAATTCAGCAGCACAGAGCCGACAAGGAGGTCCTTTAAAACTGTGAGTCTAAAAAGTAGGGATCCGAAGGGGTACGTGCACCCCGATGTTTATAGCAGCAATGTCCACAATAGCCAAACTGTGGAAAGAGCCAAGATGTCCATCAACAGATGAATGGATAAAGAAGATGTGGTATATATATACAATGGAATATTATGCAGCCGTCAAAAGGAATGAGATCTTGCCATTTGCAACGACGTGGAT